TGTAACTCCTGGGGTGCACTCCCCCCCCTCTATTGATACTGTAACTCCTGGGGTGCACTCCACCCCCTCTATTGATACTGTAACTCCTGGTGTGCACTCCCCCCCCCCCCACCATTGATACTGTAACTCCTGGGGTGCACTCCCCCCTCTATTGATACTGTAACCCTGGGGTGCACTCCCCCCTCTATTGATACTGTAACCGGGGTGCACACTCCACCCCCCTCTATTGATACTGTAACTCCTGGGGTGCACCCACCCCCTCTACTGATACTGTAACTCCTGGGGAGCACTCCACACCCCCCTCTATTGATACTGTAATTCCTGGGGTGCACCCCCCCCTCTATTGATACTGCAACTCCTGGGTAGCACTCCCCCCCTCTATTGACATTGTAACTCCTGGGGTGCATTCCCCACCCCCCACTATTGATACCTTAACTCCTGGGGTGCATTCCCCCCCCTCTATTGATACTGTAACTCCTGGGGTGCATTCCCCCCTCTATTGATACTGTAACTCCTGGGGTGCATTCCCCCCCCTATTGATACTGTAACTCCTGGGGTGTATTCCCCCCCCTCTATTGATACTGTAACTCCTGGGGTGCATTCCCCTCTGTGATACTGTAACTCCTGGGGTGTTCCCCTCTATTGATACTGTAGCTCCTGGGGTGATTCCCCTATTGATACTGCTTAACTCTGGGTGTTTCCCCCTAATGATACTGGAACTCTAGTTTTGCTCCTCCCCCCTGTGACCTGTAGCCTGGGGTGCTCCCCTTTACCACCCAGTGATGCTGTAGCTCTGGGTGCACTGCCCCTCACGCCCCATTGATACTGCTAGCTTCCTGGTTTTCTATTGATGCTGTAACTCCTGGGATTACCCCTCTGTAGTGCTGTAATGGGGTGCACCCCCCTCTGGTGATGCTGTAGCTCTTGGGGTGCCTCCCTCTATTGATACTGCTTAACTCCTGGTGTGCACTCCCCCCCACCCCACCATTGATGCTGTAGCTCCTGGGGTTGCACTCCCCCCCTCTATTTGATACTGTAACTCCTGGGGCACTCCACCCCCCTCTATTGATACTGTAACTCCTGGGGTGCACCCACCCCCTCTACTGATACTGTAACTCCTGGGGAGCACTCCACACCCCCCTCTATTGATACTGTAATTCCTGGGGTGCACCCCCCCCTCTATTGATACTGCAACTCCTGGGTAGCACTCCCCCCCTCTATTGACATTGTAACTCCTGGGGTGCATTCCCCTCCCCCCCTATTGATACTGTAACTCCTGGGGTGCATTCCCCCCCCCTATTGATATTGTAACTCCTGGGGTGCATTCCCCCCTCTATTGATACTGTAACCCCCAAGTATCTCCATTGATACTGTAACTCCTGTCGTGCATTCCCCCCCTCTACTGATACTGTAACTCCTGGTCTCCTCTCTTCCTCTCTCTCCCCCCCCACCCTCTATTGATACTCTCGATGTGCA